GAAGCAATATGAGTAATGTCACAACAGAACCAACAGAAATAAAAAGGATAATAACAGAATCCTATCATCTAGTAATTTTAATATCAGTTTATTTTTTTAGAGCCCAAGCCTGCCATAAAAGATTAAAAACCTTGGGAACCCTACATAGGGTCACTATGAGTCAGAACCAACTTGATGACACCCCCCACCCCCCACCCCACCCCCACTCCATCCTCACCCCACCAATTCTTCCACTTTCGTTTTACTTGAGTTTAGATTCCTATTGTTGGTAAGTGCTGTGGAACCAGTTCTGACTCATAGTGATCCTGTATAGGGTTTCTGAGGAGTGGCTGGTGAGTTTGAACTGCCAACCTTGCGGTTCAAAATGACGTTGCAATCTAGCACATCACCCCACAGCACCTTACCAGGACTTCCGACTGTAAAGTTGAATTACAAGTATCTCAAAGTCATCATGTAGAAATTAACGCATTAGACATTCCCCAAAAGACAGAAATCTGGAATTATCTTGGTCACTTTTCCTCCCTCCATTAAGTCATTGCATTTTTTTTTTTTTTTCCTTTTTTCTTTAACATATCAGAAACTCCAGCCTTCCCTGGCCCATTCCTCCTGCTACTTCTGTTATTCAGGACTTCATCATAACAGGCCTGTGTAATAGTTTCCTCACTGGTCCAAACTTTTCTAGTCTAATCCTTTCCAGGTCATCTTGTAATTGCAGCAATTGGAGTCTTTCTGGAATTTGTGAAACCCTTCATTGTCTTTTTAGCAGGAAGATAAAGTTTAACTGAGTAGCATGATTAAAAATATTTTTGTATCTGGCCCATCTCCACCCTTGTCTCCTGGCATCCCTCCCTTGAACAAACCTTAACTGCCAATTCATCCAGAATGATTTAGAGTTCCCCATAACTTCATACTTTTTGACATCTTTATGCTTTGCAGTCTCTCCTCTGTCTTTCTATAAACTCTCAATTAAATTTCTAAATAAAACTTAGATGCCATTATATATGGAAATTCATTGCAAAAATTAAGGAAAGTGGTGCTTTAGGATAAGCACTCTACCATCAGGTCAGTTTGAACCACAAGGTTGTCAGTTCAAACTCACCAGCTGCTCCTTGGAAACCCTATACAAGATTGCTATGAGTAGAAACTGACTCGATGGTACTTACCAACAATAACAAATATGTTAAACAACATATGCTGATCTGAGTTGAAGGAAGAGAACAAGTTATGAAACTTGAGGATAGGTAAGAATCAATGATGTGGGATTGGAGGAGGCAAAAATGCAAATTCCTAGGCCTTATCTTTAGAGAGTCTAATTCAAATTGTGGTTACTTCACACTTTGAGAAGCATTGTTCTGGGTAAAGGGGATAATATATGAAATGGCAGAGGAACAAGAAATTGTAATGGACTATAGCATTTTGTATGAGTCAGCTATTGTTACAGTAATGTTCTCTAACAAGTCGCTCCAAAATGTAGTAGCTTAAAATAACCACCACCAGGATGTATTGGTTTTATTATGATGCATGTTAGCTAGGCAGTTCTGCTGAGCTGAGCTGGGCTCTGCTGTTTCCAGCTGGACTCACTCATGTTCTCTGGAGGTAGTTGGCAGGTCAGGTGGTGGTTGCTGACAGGGTGATCACATCTGCTGAGCCTGGTCTTACTTACCCTATGGGCTTTATATTCCTCCAGCAGGCTGCCTTGCAGTGAAAGGGACAAGGTGGAGCTCAAGAGCATTAAGGGCAGGGTCAGAACTGAAAAGTCAACATTTCTGTGAAATTCTATTGGCCAAAGCCAGTCCTTATGCAGCTCAGGTTCAAGAGGAAGTAGACTACATTTTTATGGGAAAGGAGCCCTGATAGTGCAGTGGTTAAGTGCTTGGTGGCTAACTTACCTGTCATTTCAAGGGAGAAAGACTTGTAAGGGGGTACAGTCTCGAAAACCATGTGGGGAAGCTCTACTTTGCTCTGTAGGTTTGCTGTGGTCTTTTGGTGGTAGTGGTGGTCGTGTGTAATGCAGTTGGTTCTGACGCATAACAGCCCTCTATAGGATTTCCGAGGCTTTACGTTTTTATGGGAGCAGAAAGCCTCATCTTTCTCCCTCAGAACAACTGGTAGTTTGACCTTGACATTAGCAGCCCAACTCATAATCACTACACTAGTAGAACTCCTTGGGGGTCTCTTGGGAGAAGCTACAAAGTCACAATGTAAGGGGCATGGATACCGAAAGAGGAAGATTTTTGTTTTGCTTTTTTTTATTCACTCAGTCTACCACAGAGGCTTTTTCATCTTGACCTGCAGATAAAGGCTGAGCCAGCCTGACATGCTTATTTCACATGAAGGAAGTAGTGAGAAAATACCTCAAGGACTTGAGCCAGGAAGAAATACTTTTGGAAGTCTGTCTTTTGGAAGAATAATGTGGCCATGTTAATCAGGTGAATAAGATAGGGAGACGGGAGAGAGAGTCTTTCCTGAACATGTAGTAGATGTTTTAATGAGGGTTTGATTAACATGGTGGCCATGGGAGCAGGCTTAAAGGGGTAAAGCAAGAAACTTCCTTACAAGGACTAAACAAAGACTACTGTGGGATCGGAGGCAGGAGGCATGTGTAGTGCAGTGTCTCTTTTATGGTGTCCCTGTTTTGCTTCATGCCAATCTCAGGCATTCAACATATATTCTCTAGTTCCACATTCAGAGTTTGCAGAAGGTACTGTTATACGTCTCCTTATATGATATTATAGCATGTAAAATTTGGCTGAATAGATAACCATATAGCAGGGACTTGGGCTTACAGCTTGGACCTACCATACTAATGGGTATTTAGTATTATTCTTCCATCTCAGGCTGGAAGTTTTTCAAAGATGGACGCTTTAGCTCATTTAGTCTCCTTTCCGCTCAGAGACTGCACACTTCCACAGATTCTAATTTCAACTTTTGTAAAAACATTATTGAAAATAAGATAAAGTTGAATAATACTTTATTGTCAGTTTTATTTAAATCAAATAATGTGATCAATGTGAAGACATTTGCATAGAGATCACATGAATTTTATTGAAATCAAAATGTAAAGACAAAATTCTAACACCTAATTATCTTATCCTGAAATAATTAAATGCAAAGGATATACATGTTAAATTGCAGCAAATATGGAGGCCTTGTATGATGTACATAAGCCATTTTATAATGCTTTATTATAAATAATTGAAAACAGTATTTCATTTTTCAAAATCAAGTAACAAAACAGTAAATATCATGCTTTTTTTAAAAATGTAATTTTATTTTTCAATACAAATTAGGAACTAATCTGTCTTCCAAACTGTAAAAAAAAAAAAAAAAAAAAGTTAAGTCATTAGAAATACAAAAGAACAAACACTTATTTTTACTTAAATGAAAATGATCAAGATTTTAAGAAGCAGGGGCTATGAAGGACCTATCAAGAATACAGACATTGTGTAATACCTGCAAAACAGAGTTGTATATTGACACAAAAATATAAAAACTTGATAGTAAACATTACAAAATCTTTTCTGAAAATGAATAGCTTTATTATCTCAAATGGAGGAAACCCACTAAGACATAAATAGGTCAAAAGATCAAGTCTGAAATTTGTATTGTTTCCTTGAACATTAAATTTTTTTTTTTTTTAGAAAAACAGACACAATTTATATTTTAATTCTCTCCTAGCAGCCTCTGTTTTGACAAAATTTCACTCCTGTAGCCTCAAGAATGTAGTGGCAATGAGCGCTGTTTCATCACAAACCGCAATAACTTCAATAGCCACAAAAATGTGTGCCCAAGTCTTGACTCAAAATGGATTCTCCCATAGGAATATTTTCATTAAGATATTTATAGCATTTATAATTTTATCAATTAGTTGGGTGACTATGAATACGTTTTTATGTTTCTCTTACATAGAATACATAGTTTTGCCAATTTTGTCCACTAATAATAATTTTCAAAAATCAGAAATAGCCTAAGAAAACAAAGCCTATAGGAGAAAAACAGTAATAGTAAATGTATTCCATAAAGAAATATAGGTATCTTTGAAAAATTGTCTTTATTTGCATCAATTAAGGGTACCATTGCCTATTCCAGATTAAACAGTTATTAGGTTTACCATGAATATAAACATGTTATATACATTGAGATTCATAATTCTTAATTTTTCATAGACTTCAAAGTGTATCTTTTATAGAAATTGGAACAGGATGGATCTGGTGAGCATGTTTCAGTTAATTAACAAAAATTAAATTAGCATGAAATAACAGTGAAGAATTGAAAATCTAAAGCCATTTTAAAAATAATGACGTTAAACTTATGTGACTACATGCAAGAAGATACTGAAAAATGAACTGCTCCAATTAAGCTTTTATGTCAATTTAATACATTCAACATACTGCTTTCCTATATAGTATCAAAGGAAATATTAAATGCATGTATATTATTAAAAACAATGTAATGATATATTTCACATTCTTTAAACTTTCCTCAGGCTATAAATATATTCATATATCAGTTTTTACAGTAAATGAAAACTGCAACATGGGGTTTGTGTGGGGAGGCAGGCAATTCTTATTAAACCTCAGATAGCCTTACTTATGTCCATCTTGTAAATGAAAAGCATATATAAAAATAACAAAAATAATAATGGAGTGTGTTTTTACCTCACACACACACACAGTTATTCTTCATGTACTGTATGTAATTCATTATGGTTTACCAAGATGGACTTAAATGTGAAGATGGGCTAACTGAAATCAGCTATTGAGTATGACAATGAAAATAGGTTTCTGAAATCCATTAACATTTAATTAACTCAGAGGGCATTGCCATTCAACCTAGACTTTTATTGAGATTGTGCAACAGTATAAATTTATTTAGTTAGTAGGTTTGCATAGAAATAACATCATTTCCTGGTGCAATATATCTTTTCCAAAGGATTATGGAAGGCCTGTTTTTATTCTTCATGTATATCCATTTCTCCTCATTCTTTTTCGCCTTCTTAAGTTTTACATGGAATAAACTATATTCATCATCTGGCTACCATAGTTACAAAGTAAGATCCAGTAGTAGTTTGAAGTACAGAGAGCTGAGCAGTTTCTTCCCTTTAAAAGCATGATGGGGGGTGGCGTGCTCTAGATTCATGCCATGTGAACACAGTGACCCCATGTAGAGACTTCTGTGAACTCAAAAGGTCCCCAATCCACAGTCAAGACCTTTGATGACTTCACATAACTACGTGTTGCTTGAAGGGGAGACAATATTGCTTGCTTCAGGCATTTTCAAGAATTTCTCATCTGGTCACTTTCCCAGATTTCTCTGTTGTTTGCATAATTGCATCTGCCACTGTGCTTTCAAAAGTCCAATGGTCGGATCATCATAGTTGTGGAACGTAAGGAGTAGCTGGGACCTTTGAAGTAATGCCACTTGATTCCATTCAGTTTTCCATGGTTTTGCCCAGCATTATAGAACATTCCATTTAGGTTGGAGGGGCCACAAGCATCAAACCACCAGCCTGAAGTATTCATTAAAAATAAAAACAGAGAAGGAGGAAAAATAATGATAAGCAAATCAAACATATTGAAACAGATACATTGACTGAAGGGAAAATTGTCTATATTCGCTATGCTTATTTACACATAAGAGGTAGTCAATAAAATTCTGCTCAGCAGTGGAATGATTTTAAATAACATCTGATTTAGGCAACCTGAACAGTCAGAGAGGAATGCCTCCCTGGAACCAGCCTTCAGCATGACACCATTTGTACTCATTTTCACTGTGATGACGTGTAACCTCTGGGTATCAAGAGAAAAGCCTATTTAGGTCTGATTTTATACATGCTGCTGGTGGTGCTGCTGCTGGTGGTGTGCCACTGAGTCAGTTCTGACTCATAGCAACTCTGTATACCGTTCCTGAGGCTGTAAATCTTTTCTGGAGTAGAAGGCTTCATCTTTCTCCCATAGGTGATGGGTAGATTTGAACTTCCAACCTTGCGGTTAGCAGCCCATTGCATAACCCACTATGCTACCAGGGTTCCTTGGTTTAATACAAAGGCCAAGTAAAATATAGATACCCTTAAGAAGTATTCCATATTAAGTTAGCAGTTCGAAACTACCAGCCATGAGTTGGAATGGACTAGATGGCACTTAAAAACAACAACAAAGTAAGTGGGAATAGAGGAGTCCTGGTGTGGCACTGTGGGTTAATACGCTGGATTGCAAGGTCATTTTGAATAGCAAGGTTGGCAGTTCAAGCTCACCAGTAGCTCCTTGGAAACCCTCTACAGTGTTGCTATGAGTCAGAACCATCTCGATGGCACTTAACAACAACATTGGGGATAAAACAAAATGATTACTTGTTAGTATAAATGTTCATGGAGTCCTGGTATGGTGCTGTGTGTTAATGCACCAGACTGCAAAGCCATTTGAACTGCAAGGTTGGCAGTTCAAGCCTACCAGCTGCTCCTTGGAAACCCTATACAGGGATGCTATGGGTTGGAACCGACTCAATGGAACTTAACAACAACAACAACATGGATGTTCAGAAGATTAACTAATTGAGATAAAAATAGATAAAGATGTCCTCTGTCTACTTTTTAATTTTGCCAAGAACTGGTCCTAAGTTACTTCTGAAATTAATTGGATAGTAGGAAAACAATACAATGTCCAAACTGAGTTTTACTTTGTAAGTCCTCCTTATGGTTTATAGCAATAGAGGCAGTAATTAATAGCATCAATATACAAGTAGTTCTCAACTTACCACATATTCAATTTGTAATGAACTGAATTAAGACTGTCCTTTTTTCTTTACAACTCGCTGCGGTAAATGACATGCTGTAAAATTGTAAAATCATAATACGTACTATATACAATTTTACAGCATGTCATTTACTGTCCTGGTGTGGTGATATAGGATAACCACTGGACAGCTAACCCCAAGGTCAGCAGTTAAACCCACCAGCCGTTCCTCAGAAACCACATACAGTCTTGCTATGAGTCGAAACCCACTCGATGGCATTGAACAGCAGCAGCAATCATTCTCAGATTTCATTAGAATATGTTCAGTTTTACATTATTCAAAACACTGCTGTATAAATTTAGTTTTCTAAACTAAATCAGAGGCTTCAGTTGCTTGAAAACATGGACTCAAATGCCGATTGCTTTGCCGAACTTGATAGGCAGATTGGGGAAGCAATGAGATGCTTCTGTGAAATATATGAAGAACAAGTGAAAAAGACCATAGAAACAGCTTTCACTCATTTTCTGACTAGAAAGGCCATCTTGTTACCAAGGATAATCCATGTGACCCAAAACCTTACTTAAGTAGAATTATTTCTGGAACTGACAATTCAATGCCATTCAACTGTTTTACATTGTTGGAGTAAAATTTGTGATTTGCATAATTTTTTATGTATCTATGTAATAACATATATCTGTAAGTTTATATATGCTTCCAGCCTACAAAGATACATATAGATCAAATTTATAAAGATACTGATAATAAAATATAACAATAATGAAAATTTTAAAATTAAAAGAGATATTGTGTCCAAACAGACTTATGACAGAATAATCGAAACAGAACCCTGTCATAAGCCGGGGACTACTTAGAGTTCCTATATAGCAATATTTTGTCTGTGATTGCTCAAGTGCTATCTAAAGTTAGAAGAAAACAAGAAAGAATTTTGATGATTCACATGGAGATTCTATGCTTACACAACTCTCCGTAGGATAACTCAGTACTTAATTTTTTCAATGAATTAAATTCTCAGACTTTTAGATAAAACAGTACTTTTTCTCTCTGTCCTGAAGTACCATGACTGAAATCTTTAGGGAAAGATTTATGCCAGAGACATTCTAGCATACTTTGATTTGGATACAATTGACCTCCTTTTGATTACAGACATATACCTAAGGGACTAATAGCTAAACAAAGAGAAATCTGTAAAGCTGATGTTTAAATGTAACATGAGCATCCTCTTGCAGAAATTTTAGAAAAAGCTAAATGGAGAAAAGCTAGTCCATATATTTTAATTTTGGAAGATGAATACAGCTGGGCTGTGTTTATACAGTCTAACAAGAGGCAAAGTAGACAGCATTAATCACCTGTTTATATTAGAGAACTGTAAGGTATATCTTGATAAATTGGGAAAGACACATATTTAATTCTGTTTTATCAACTGTATGCAAACAGCATAAATGTTAATACAAGCAAAGTGAGGGGGACAAGAAGGCTCTTGTTTAATAATAAGGAGGTTGTTGTTGAGTGCCATCGAGATGGCCTGACTTATAACAACACAGTACAAGGTTTTCGGAAAGCAGATGGCAGGTTTGAACTCTCAGTCTTGCAGATAGCAGTCCAGTGCTTATCTGAGAGTGCCACACCAGGGCTCAATAAAAAGAAAGCTCTATAAAATAACATCTTATATTTAAGATTAATTCCTTTAATTATAAGTACAGCTAGCAAAAATTAAATTATTTATACAGACTGTTTTAAACTGGGGAAGAAATTAATAAATTAATAAATTCCTTTGAGGGCAACCTCAAAGGAAATTGACACACCTTCACAAGAAAATTAAAAGGAGGAAAATCAGATTATGAAAGAAAACCCACAAACAAAATGACCTCAAAGCAGAAAATGTATAACAAAGAAACCAGCAGCACCACAAAACAAAAAACAAAAAATAAAATTACCTCAATTAATTCATACTTCAATAATTACATAGAATGTAAATGTATAAAATACACGAGTCAACAGGGTCCGTCAAATTGCTGTCTACAAGAGACACACCTTACAGACCAAGGGCAAAAATAGATCATCAAAGGATTTGAAAAAAAATAATAAAGTAAATGGCAGTCAGAAGTTAGCAGTAGTGGCAATATTAAACTCTAATACAATAGACTTTAAGGCAAAACAAAACAAAACAAAACAAAAACAGCCTAAAAGACTAAGAAGGGCACTATATCATGGTTAAAGGCACAATTGAACAAGATATTGCAGTAGCCATAATAAATATCTATACTCCCAATGAAAGAGTCTCAAAATACATAAAGCAAACTCTCCTCGAACTGAAGAAAGAAATAGACAACTTCACAATAATATTAAGCCATTCTAATAAACCGTTTTTAATGAAGGACAAAACAACTATTAAGAAACTCAACAAAGACACAGGAAAGCTAAATAACACAATCAACTAGACATCATAAACATATACAGTGCACTCAACCCAACAACAACAAAGTATTCACTCTTTTACAATGCACGTAGAACCTTCTCTGAAAAAGACTATATGTTAGGCCACAAAGCAAACCTCAACAGATTTAAAACCATCAAAATACTACAAAGCATTTGCTCAGATCATGATGCTATAAAATTAGAAATCAAGAAATAGGGAGATCAAGGGGAAAAGTCAAATATGTGGAAATTGAATAACACCGTGTTTGAAAGCTACTGGATAATAGAACAAACAAAAACTGAAATAAAAAATTCCTTAAATCAAATGACATTGAAAACATAGCATACCAAAAGTTTTGGGACATAGCAAAAGCAGTGCTCAGAGGGCAATTTATAGCAATAAACTCACACTACAAAATGGAGAAAGGACCTTATCTCAATGACTCCAACAATTACAACAACAGCAGTAAAGTCAGAAGAAAAATAATAAAGGTTAAAGCAGAAATAACTGAAACAGAAAACAGAAAAGTTGAAGGAATCAATAAGACAAGAAGGGGCTTTCTGAAAGCATTAATAAAATACACAAACCACTGGCAATCTAATAGAAGGAGATGATAACATTAACACAAATAAGAAATTATATGGGTGATGTCACAACAGAACCAATGGAAATAGAAATGACAATAACAAAATACTATGAAGCATTGTACTTCAAATTATTTGAAAGCCTAGAAGAAACTGACAAATTTCTAGAGATACATAACCTACCTAAACTAACATAAACTGAAGCAGAAAACTTGAACAGACCTATAACAAAAGAAGAAATTAACCAAGTCATTAAAAAATGCCCATAAAAAAAAGTCTGAGCCTAAATTATTTTACTGGTGAATTCCACTAGTCATTCAGAGAAGAGCTGGCACCAATTCTACTTAAATTATTCCATAATATAGAAGAGATAGTTCCCAAATCGATTTTATGAAGCAAGCATATCCCTAGTACCAAGACCAGGTAAAGACATCACTAAAAAAGAAAATTACCAACCAACATCCCCCATAAACATAGAAGCAAGAATTCTCAACAAAATCCTAGCCAAAGGAACACAGAAAAATAGCAAATAATAATAATACATCATGATCAAGAGGGATTCATACCAGGTTTGCAGAGATGGGTCAATATTAGAAAAATAATGCAACCCACCACATAAAGAAAAGAAAGAGAAAAAACCCACATGATCCTAACAGTCAATGAAATAAAGGCATTTGACAAAATCAAACATCCATTCCTGATAAAAAAACAAAACAAAACAAAACACTCAACAAAATAGGAATCAAAGAACATAAT